GCCTGAGTTGACAGGGACTTGCAGACATTGACGAGGTGGTGCCCACTCCCTCCTTGGGGGTTTGCTCAACTTGGCTGTGGACTTCTTGGTCCATGTTGGGACATTGGTCCCTCTACTAGTGTGCTTGATTTGGTTCTTCAGTACTTGATTGTTGGGACGTTGACATCTTTGTGGCAGTTGAGTTTCCTCTATGTTGGATTTCCCCCCATGTTGCGTGATTGATAGGAAACACCCCCTTGTTGCATGTGAGTATGGTGGGATTGGCTGCGGGCTTTCTGCATAACTCTTGAGAATTGCATCAGCGAGTGCGATGTTACATTTCATATCTGCAATTGACTTTTACACCAGCTGTTTGATGCCATTTCTGCTTGTGGTATCTTGTTTGTCAGATAATACGGATATCAGTGGATTTTGTCGCATACTAACTGAAGTGTTATTGCAAGGGATTTGCACTTCGATGTTTTTTGTGGAGATGGGTTCAGTAATGGCAAAACAACATTCAAGTTGGCTCCTCTGCCCTTCTGCACTTTCTACGATCCTTAGAATCATCATTTACTGTTTGTCTATGTGACACCCGCGACCTAGGCCGCGGGCATTTCGGTCGCTGCGGCCGAGAATCTCGGTCGCGGCCGCGACCGATAAGGCGAAGGCCTGGTTTTTTAATATATTTTTTTGACCCCTAAAAATATGTAAAAAGAAAACAAAAATATGTGGGTGTAGGGCTTGGAAAACCCTACACTCCTATATTTGTTTTTTTGGAATCCGACTTTGCTTAAGATTTTTAAAAAATCAAGATATATATATACAAAGTAACCGGCATTCGGGGCGGGCCGAACGCCCGAACCCGAACGCCTGAACGTATGGGACCCCTTGGGGAAGCGTTCGGCCGTTCGGGCCGAACGCGGACCCAAAAAAAAAAAAACAAAAACAAACAAAGTCATTAAAAAATCTGAAAACAAGATATGTTATGGAGACAAATAAATTAAACAAGATTTGCCTGATCACTACATCCGAATTCCTTACCAAATTTGAAATAAAAATAAAATATGGAAAACAAATACTAATAATAAAAATAAATAAAAATAAATAAAAATAAAAAGAGAATTAAATTTAGTGAGTGCAGGAGCATGTTTTCGACACCGGCATCTTTGGCGATTTTTCATTTTTTTTTGGCATAGCTCAATGCCCTGAAAATTTACAGATGTGTACTTCACATATTAAAAAATCCACTAAAAAAGTTTCAAAAAATAATAAAATTGTTTAGACCCCGAACTAAAGTGAAAACAAAAAGTAAAAACTGAAAAAATACGTGGGCGAGCACGTTTTGACACCGCCATCTTTGGCGATTTTTTATTATTTTTTGGCTTAGCCAAATGAATTGAAACTTTACAGGCATAAACCTCACGTCATATAGAACTCACAAAAAAAAATCAGAAAACAAATATATTTTTAGGCCCCGAAATAATTTTTGGCGGGGGCCGAACGCCGTCGGGTTCGGACCCCGTACGGGACCCTGAACGCCCGTACGTACGGAGGTCTGCCCGGGGACCTCCGTACGTACGGGCTGGTGACCCTGTATATATATACAAAAAAAAGCAGGAATTTTTTTTTGTCATTTTTTATCATGAGATATATGGTCCTTAAGTTTACCTGTATTTTTTTTAGAAATGAATCTCTGTTTTTTGCAGGGAAATGAGGTGTTTTTAAAAAATGCAGATGCAAAATTTGAAAACAAATTTAAAAAAAAAGGGGTTTGATTCATTGATCGATTGATTGATTGATTGATTGATTGATTGATTGAGTGTGAGTGTGTGAGTGTGTGTGTGTGTGTGTATGTGTGTGTGTGTGTGTGTGTGTTTGTGCGTGTGTGTGTGTTTGAGTGATGTGTGATGTTTGTGCGTGTGTGTGTGTGTGTGTTTGTGCGCGCATGTGTGTGTGTGTGTGCGTGATGTGTGATGCGCGTGCGCGCACGCGAGTGTGTGTGTGTGTGTGTGTGGGAAGAGCTGCGGGGAACTGCGTGCGCCGTGCGGGACGTGGGTGGGAAGAACTGCGTGCGGGATAGGGGAGGCGCAGATCTGCGCTCGGGAGAGTCCAAGAGCGCGCGCGCGCGCAAGAGAGAGAGAGAGAGAGAGAGAGAGAGAGAGAGAGAGAGAGAGAGAGAGAGAGAGAGAGAGAGAGAGAGAGAGGGAGAGAGAGAGGTGTGTGTGTGTGTGTGTGTGTGTGTGTGTGTGTGTGTGTGTGTGTGTGTGTGTGTGTGTGCGGCTTGTGCCGGGGAGGGAAGGGAGGACCCCTCCCCGACCAATCAATCAATCAATCAATT